TCCGCCGCTTCCTGGCGCCTTTCCGCCTCTGCGCAGGCTGGCCAGGAGGCGCGCGGCCGGCCTTGCCCCGACGGGGAGGAGGCGGACTTCAAGCACAGCGTTGGCCCTTTGGGGGTACGGGTGGGGAGCGGGGAGCGGAGCACCCAGGGGTCCCCAGGGGAGTCTCCCGGAATCTGCCCAGACGCTTGTCCTCCCCCAGGGCGAGGGTTGGTGCCCGGTGGCAGCCCCGGAGACGTCTCAATAAAGCCTGTGCCGGCCGCGCCCGCTGGCTGTCTCGAGGTCTGGCTGCCTTTTTCTGGGCAGGTTGGGTTCGCAGCCAGGAGGGCGCCGAGGCTGCCCGGCCCCACCCCAGCCCCGCCGTCATCGACACCCCAGCCCTCGTGGGACATTCTCCAGTTGACGAACCTGCTTTGACACGTCCTAGGCACCCAAAGTGCACGTCAGGGGTCGCGCCTGGTGGGGCCCACTCTGTGGGTCTGGACAGTATCAGGACCCCTCGCCCATGGGGTTGTGCGGGGACTGCTGCCCCAAAAGCCACATGCTCTGCTCAGGCCCCTGCGCCCCGCCACGCGCCCGCCGGTGTGACTCACCGAGCTTGCTGTGCTGGCTCCGGGCCCCCACCCCAGCCTCCCTCCCTCTCCCACCTCCCCCGCCTCCTGGGGAAGCGCTGGGAGCCTGTCTCAGCCCTGACGCGCTGTGCTCGCAGCCATACCGGGGCGGGGCCCCCCACCTCCCCCAGAGGCCCCCGCCGGCTCAGGGCGCTGCCGCCGCCTGGGTCTGTGGCGCTGGTGGAGGCCGAGGGCCGGGCCGTGCCCGGGGCTTCCGCGGGCAGCAGCCGCTCCACCCACGCTCTGACCTGGCCTGCTGACCTGTCTTTGGAGAAACCCAAAGCGTCTTAGGCTCTACTGACCCCTTGGAGCAAAGCTCCTTAAATCTCGGGTCCCCGTGAGGGCGTCACAGCCTGCTTGACAGCATATTTCCAAAGGGGAGACAGACGGGTGGAGAGGAGGGGCCGGAACGAGCCTCCACGGTGCCGAGTGAGACCGGGAAACACCACAGCCACGGTGGGGCCCCCGGGGGGCGCGGGGCACGGGTGCGGGCAGGGCTGGGCTTTCCCGAGTCTGGAGGGCTGCGGGCACGGGGGCGCCCCTCCCCCTCACTCCTCCCAGGGGCCTGCTGCCCACAGCCTGTGCCCAGGCCGCAAGGCCGCCGCCCACCCAGGTCACCCCTCGGGCTGCTGCCTTCCCCACCCCGGAAGTGGGGCTTCTCCCTGGGGACAGGCAGGTCGGCGCGGGGTGTCGGAGCGGAGCGTCGTCTGCCTGAGCCGGCGGCCCCAGGCCGCTCGTGCTCGGCCTCAGCCTGTCACCTGGAACCAAGCCCAAGACGTCCCAGTAGCGGCGGTGCGGCTGACCGGAGGGTGTCTGGGGGCGGCGCGCGTGCCCGGAGGGTGCAGGCAGGTGCAGGCGTGCACACGTGGGCACCTGGCGGCACCCGCGTGTCAGCGGCCTGAGAGGCCACGTCCTGGCAGGACGCCTGGCGCAGCACCGCGTGGCCCTGGGTGGCGGAGGCGGCCGGCGGCCGGGTGGACAGCCTCCGCCTTGTCGTGCGGGGGGCCGGCGTGCCTGGGCGGACAGGTGAGTGTCTGCGGGGGCACCAGGGGCCCAGCCACCGTGCCGTGGGAGCTGCGCGCCGCCATGGCAGTTCCCTCCTGGCAGACCTCTGACGCTAGGTGCCACCTTTTAACGATCCCGGGAAACCCTGATTGATCTTTCGGAGACCATAATAGCACGCAAAAGCACCAGAAAAGCGGGGAGCTGGCAGAGGTGTGGCCCACCGTCCGGGGCGCCTCCCCAGGCTGCCGTGGCCTGGGCCGGGCGCCCTGCTTTCCCATGGCGTCCCCCGGGAGGGGCGGGCCTCAGGCACAGCACCCCCCGCCCACGTGATGGGACGCCTCTAGCGGGGCATGTGGGCTGCACCCCGTCACCCAAACCCGAGCCACACCCCCACGGGCCCGGCAGCCCCAGGCAAGTGGCGAGCTTCCTCGCAGCACAGGGCAATGCGGAGCGTGTGCCTTGGCGTGAGGACTGAGGGATTAGCGCACAGTGCGTCTCAGCGGTGAGCGTGCTGCAGGGCAGGCTGCTGCCAACCTGGAGGCCCACGCCACAGGCGGGCGGCGGCGGGCGGAGGCCAGGCGCCTGTGGGCCGGGCTCCCACACCTGCTCAGCCCAGGCCAGGCCGGGTTACAGGCCCAGGGCACACCGGGCGCTTCCTCACCCTCTTCAACTGGCAAAATCCGAAGCAGCGGGTATTGTCGGCCGGCACCCTGGGTTTCTGAGCAGCGGATCGGATCGTGGACTACTGAAGAGTAACGGTGTCCGCGGCAACAGCAAGCCCAGCCTTCCCCGTCCCTCGGGGGCGCGTCTGACCGTCCCTGCCAGCATCTCCTCAAGTAGACTGGCGGGGGGGTGAGGGTGGGGGGTGGGTCTCATTTATTGCCCCAGACCCAAGTCGGCCTGCAACTCCCGAGAAGCCAAGTTCAAGTCCAGTCAGCAAACTGGAACGGCCAGTCTTCTGTCCCTGCCACTGGGCCACTGTTCCACGCGCTGGCTCCTGGTGGCCGGGAGCCCGTCCCAGCCGCGTGTGGCTCGTTCTCCCCACATGATAGTGATTTTGTACCAGCAAAGTGTGTTTAAAAAAGGTTGGTTATATTTCCTTTTTCGCCAGACGTTTGGATTTCCCCCTACCATCCCTCTAAGGATCTGAGAGCTGCATTTATGGGATGCGGTCTCTGCCCTAGCGGGATAATAGGCACAGAGAAGGCCCTAAGGGTGGACCCCAAGTCTGGCAGGGGACTTCTGGTGTGCAAATGTAGTTGTCAGACAAGTCTGACCCAGCCACAATGAAGCTGCAGGAGCTAGAGGCCCGGGGCTGCCTGCTGAGCTCCCCAGGAATACTGCGGCCCGGCCCGGGGCTGCCTGCTGAGCTCCCCAGGAATACCGAGGCTCCCGGCTGCTCCTTTGGGAAGGGAGGGGACTCCAGTGACACCGGAGGGAGGGGCGGGCCAGGGAGGGCAGAGAAGGGGGACCTGGCCCCCGAGGGAGGCACCTGTGTGTGGCAGTGAGGAGTGAAGGGGAGCCCGTGATGGAAGCCCGGAGTCCGGGGTCCCGGGTCCCGAACAAAGTGGGGGTGAAATCAAGGAAGATGAGGCACAGCACCAAGTGATGGCTTGGAAAGCTTATCCCGGCCACCCAGCCACTGGTCCTGGGCAGCGCCCCTCCGACCGGGTGACCCTGCCTGCCTCTGGCCTGCTGGGTGGGGCTCTCGGCATCTGGGTCCTCTCCATTCTGCCCCCAACTAGGAGCTGTGAACCAGCTGCCGGAGCCCTGTGAGGAGGCAGCTGGACGAAGCCCACCCCATCAGTCAGGCCGGCTGGAGCTCCGGCTGGACCCTGGCCACAGTCAGCTCTGGCCAGGCCCAGATCTGGGTCCCTTCTCTGGAC